ACATGTAAATCTTTTAAATAAGGATTCATTTACGTCTGAAACATGAAACAAAAGTTTTTAATAGCTTTCTTAGTGGATTGCTTGCTGAATAAATACTTGAACATTCTGTAAGCTGCACTTGTAGAACAAACTTCCAGGACCAAGAACGTTGGAAGAAATGCTTGCTGTATTGATCTAGTCCAGTAGCAGAGTCTGGAAAATTGGGGTTTCGTTCAACCCACAGGCTAGGAAAGGTTTGACACTGGATTTTGTTAGCACAAGACCCCTTGGATAACCCAGAGTAGTTTTTAACGTAATGCCAGATATCAGCATGAAATCGAGGCTGGTCACTTAATCAGCTTTGCCTTCTCTTTTTAATTGCAAAAATTGTTCAAAATAGGAAATAAAGCAAACCAACAATGAAATGGAGTCATGAAAGACACTTTTGGTGTTAGGGGATGTCCCGTGACCAAACATGTGACCTGTCTTGAGACAAAATTTKGCAAGGAAATAGAGAATTTTCATTTTTTAAGCATTATTAAAGTTCGAGTTTAATTTCAACAGGTTTTTTTTTACTATATATGACTCTATTAGCTAATAAGCATCATTTCAGATACTTAAAATACCTTTTTTAATGTAAAATGGTGCCAYGGCTTGGCTTTAATGAGAGTAATAGTGCCAACATGAAAACTAGCCTAATCGATTGGTTGGCATTTTCTCCTCTATTTCTTAGTAAAACAATGATGAGCACGTGAGTGTCGGGTGATTGTATAACAACCCTCCGATCTGTTTGGGAAACATACTTGGCGTGCAGAATTAACCAAGTGTCTGCCTCCTCGTGGTCTGATTTCAGATCTGTAATATCTCTACAGCAGCCTCTGGTGATCTGCACACACCTCTTCCCGTCCTTGAATCCTTCTCCGATTACCAGCTTCTTGTTATAAAAGGTAACATCTCTTGCCCAAGCTTGCACAAAGAGTGAGTTAAGAAGTCACAGAGATTGATCTTGTTCTGTTGGTTGGTGATGTACTTTCCCCATTGCTTGGGTACGGGCGTGGGAGGGCCACCAATCTGTACCTCGAGGGCAGTTGATGCTGCTCCCTTTGAACGTTTAGAGRTATTTAAGATCTGAACAGCACGTGACAAGGAATAACACATGAAAATAATGATAAGCTGGTGATTTCTAGATTCATCACACCATTAAATTATAGTCCTGATTTTGAGGGTGTATAGTTGACACGTTGGAAATAATAGTAGAAGTCCATGAAAATATTCATCACATAATATTTGGAAAATACTCTAATAAGTTTTTTTCATATTGCAATAAGTTGGGTGTCTCGATGAATACTATCAACTGGTGCAAGTTGCTTTGAAAGGTAAGGTCTAGTTTTTGAGAAAGTAAGCGATAGAAGATTTCTGTGATGTCACCATTACGTCATGATGAAAAGGCTGCTTTAAACTAATTTATCATTTTTAAAACCTTTAATCCTTTCCTGACATTGTGTGAAAAGCGCTTRCAGATTGAGTCATTAAATACGAAGTTGTAGCCGTTTCAATGTGGCAAAACTACCCCCAGCCTCCTTAAAGAACTTTAAGCTAAGTTGACCCATCCTTTCGTTGGATCATGAGATCATTGAGTTTCAGAACATTGGCACAAAATACATTCAAATCATCAATAGAGCCGTTCCATAGGGAATGAATCTTCATTAGTAGAAATCTTGTACAGTCAGCGGATACGATTAMGGGCGCAGTTTTTAATTTTTAACTTTACTGCGCATGAGCACTAGAGTGTAATTTTATAATTCAAAATGGCGGACCAGAAGAGAGTACGTGAGGGAAAAGGTTATTATAGGCAATTAGACCAGGCAAGCACGGGTGAATTGCTTTGGGGAAGCAGCCAAAAGAAGAAAAAGAGAATGAAAAATACAGATCCAAAGATTTTTCCCGTGGAAAGAGTTGTTTCACGACGTATTGAAGTTACAAAGGTGAGTTGTCGACCAAATCTTAATCGAAGTGTTTTTGTTTTTTYCCCATAAACTTTGCCTTCAAAATATATGATATTTTGAAGGAAAARCATTACTTTATACAATGAGAGTTCGTATGATTACTAGTAATATTATGATATGAAAAAAGTCCGCTCTTGTGTTTGTATATTAAATTTTTGACAAAAATATTTGAACATTTCTATTGTAGACACAATATCTCATAAAGTGGGCAGGATACAGTGCCTATGAAAATTCTTGGTTAGACGAGGATGATCTGAGTGATGATCTKATTAGGCATGTATTCGAAAAATCAAACGACCTCACTCTTTTTGCTCCTTACTCATAGAGTGTAGAAAAAACAGATGTAACTCCATTTTTATGTAAAATATTTATTTAGTTATTTCAGTAAAGTTTTATTCTTTCACCCTAGGAATTTTGAAAAACCACCCGTGGAAGCGTCTCGCCTACAGGACAATTTAGACAGATTGAGAGTAGCTGTTGAGGCAAAACTTAAAAACAGAAGCAGGGTGCCCATTACCATAGAATTCCATCATGACTGCTATAGATATTGTTTTGGTGGTAAGGGTACTAAGTCAAGGGATGGGGTTTACACATTACATGAAAGGGATGATTTTGGTGATTGTAATTTTCCAAGGAGATGGGATATATATCTTGACAAAAATGGGGATGGGGTGAAAATTTTATATCCTGTTAAAATTAGAATTTTTTTGAGTAAATCAGTCAAGCGCTATAAACTTATTGATGATTCAATGAAAGAAGATTACCAGAGAATGTACAGAGAGAAATTGACAGTAGATTTTATTAAGGAAAATATTACTGTTACATAAAACCATATATATTTTTTAGTACATTTCATATATATATATATATATAT